TCAAGTCTCCGTTGTTAATTCCAAAATGTAATTTTAGAGCTAGTAAAAGAGGCTTATTAGAAGAGTTATTAATGCAGTTATATATATATATATATATATATATATTGTTTTATATATATATATGAAGAGTTCAGATGCAAAATCCTCTAAATGACATTTGAAATTTTCTTCTAAAATGACCATTTTTATCAAGCTTGTATATTTAAGTTCAGTAATTTCACTTAAATGGCAATGAAGATTACCTATTAATTGTCATTTAAGTGAAATTACTGAACTTAAATATATAAGCTTGATGAAAATGGTCATTTTAGAAGAAAATTTCAAATGGCATTTAGAGGCTTTTGCATCTGAACTCTTCATATATATATATATTGTTATATATTGTTAAACATCACGTTACTGAATGTGTTTGAGTGGGAGAGAGAGCAGGAGAAAGAGAATATGCTTTCCGTACATAATAAAACGTAATTTTGCAGCAAAAAAACCCAAAACATTTGAAATAATTTGTCATTTTTTTATCCTACTTATCCTACTATATTTGTTGCTGGGTCAGTGTCGTTGTTGTTTTTGGTTCTTTTGCTGTTTAAAATAACCGAAATCCTTTGGCGAAGTGATATGGAACTGTAATACGGTCAGGAACTGCCTGGAACTACTTTAGCCGTTCATTTCCCTGCAAATAATTGGACACCAATCAGATTCAAGCATTCAGCAGCCCATAGTATAGTTTATTTAGTAATAAAATTTATATTAATACTTTTGCCCTTTGTGCATGTAACTTGGCTAGAAGAAAATAAATTATATAATACATAGTAAATAAACAAATTATAATTGTAAAGTGTGCACTTAACTTGAATACACCATCATCTACAGTGCCTGGTGGGAAACAGATCAGTCACAGGCTGCGTCCCAATTCGCCCCCAATTCGGTCATCATGTGTGCGATGAGTGTGACGTACAACAACAGAAGCTTACGCAGTTACACTAGTGAACTCACTCTCACTTTTAAACTCACCGATAAACTCACTTTTATTGGTCACTGCACTGTTCATTAGCATAAAGACACTGGACACGCCCACTTCGCGTCAAAAAAGTTTGCTTTAACTAATTTTGCCTCATAATTTCTCACTGCAGATCACTGTATGCGTGCGTGAACAAGGCTTGAGGGTCTTTTGCCTGTGGCTTTCACACATGCCATTATCCAAAGTCCATCGAATACAGTGTTTATCTTCCTGTTTCTTTATCTACTGCAGTATTCACCCAGCATGAGGACCACTTACCTGTCCATGACTGATGCCCAAATCAGACACTTCGGGACAGACTTTCAGGTGTAGGTTTTTTCGGGTCCTCTTCCCAAAGGAGTCTCTGGCAGCGTGAGATGAAGATTAAAATCACTCAGCGTCTTCAAAGCATCTCAAAGGACACGTGGGTGGTAAAGCATTAAAGGGAGTTCTCAAAGAGAACTGAATGCCATCCAGACCTTTAGAGTACTCTTCTCATTTAGAAGGCAAAGGATACCTCAGAGCTTTATGGGTGAGCTCTGATCATGTGTAAATATTTGCTTACTCTCCTCAGGGGCTCGTCAGATCATCGATGAATTGTTTTCTGTGACTGGCTCAGAAAAAAAAAAAAAAAAAACATATCTTAAAGGGATAGTTCACCCAAAAATGAAAATTTTGTCATACTCACTCTCAAGTTGTTCCAAACCTGCATGAATTCCTTTTTTCTGCTGAACACAAAATAATATATTTTGAAGAATGTCGGTAACCAGACAGTTGATGAGCCCCAGTTAACTTCCATAGTAGGGAAAGACAACATATGGAAGTCAATGGGTGCCGTCAAATGTCTGGTTACTTAACATATCTTATTTTGTGAGTAAATCCACAGGTTTAGGTCAGATGTTTGGGTGAACTATCCCTTTAAATTTCTTTGAATAATAATACTTCAGCTTAGGTTGTGTAAATGGCGATTAATAGCTCAGATTAATCACTTAAATAGAAAGGAAAAAAGCGATTGCATTTTACCACACAAAGGCCTTGAGCTTCATAATGAGCCTTAAATGAATATTTCTCAGTACTGGTTAATGATGCAGCCTGAGAGAAATGATCAATTGGGATGGCTCTCTGCGATCTGACAGACTAGTCTTGAATATATTTTGCATGAGGAACAAGGTGTTTTATTTGAGTGCCTCTCGTTAAATATACTTCTTTTGCCGCGTTCCAGGCGACTTGTAACCCGTGTTTTTCCAGCCTTATGCTCGTTTTTTTGTAAATAGGCTCATTTTACAACTCCCCCAGAGTTAAACAGTTGAGTTTTACATGTTTTCAAATATATTCATCTGATTTTTTGATATTTAGAAGAATATCAGTAACCAGACAGTTTCTGGTCTCATTGAATTCCATAGTAGGAAAAAAAATATACTATGGTAGTCAAAGAGACCAAACTGTCTGGTTACAGATATTCTTCTAAATTTCAGAAAATCAGCTGAATGGATTTAAAAAACGGTAAAACTCAACTGTTTAACTCTGGGGGAGTTGTAAAATGAGCCTATTTACAAAAAAGTGGAGTATCCCTTTAAAGTGCACTGGAACTGCAGTCAAACCCGTGACTTCCCACTCGTGAACTCGTACTAGATCGATGTACTCCCAGTCACATAGCACGCAAAACCATACATTACAAACCAACGGTTTGTTTACATCTAACATAGACTTACTATATTCCGGACACTATGCACAGTAAAACGTTCCAAAGTTTGATTGACACATTTTGGACTAATCATTTAGGAGAAATCTTGAAAAAACTGCCGGGAGACGCAGTGTCCGGATCACCGTGAGGACGGTGTTCCTGACGGCTGAACATTCGGACATTTAAGGAGGAGTCATTTCTAATAAAAAAAAAACGCATTTTAACAACTATGAGTTGGTGAAATAATCATATTAATCTTCATAACCTTGTTGTATAAGAATCTATACACTCTTTTAATCCACAATTGCTCATGTGAGCATTATATTCTAACGTTATATTTAATCATTTTAAATATTGTTATTTTTGAATCCCTACAAATAGTACAAAAAGTAAAAATATTTGCAAATTGTAATTCGTAATTATTTTTTTAAGACCATAAAAATATTTTTGTTGTCATTTTCTGGTGGGTGATCGTGTTTCCCAGCAAACAAATTTAGGTTCTAGGAACGTTAGTTTTTGGTTCCCAGAACGTTCCTAGAACTTTCCCTTAAGGTTAAGGGAATGTTCCCGGAACATTCTCCTTGCGTTATAAAAATGAAACCTAAAATTAACCTACATGGAACGTTCCTATAACGTTCTTGTTTGGTTCCCAAAAAAATAACCTCATGGGACCATTCGGGAACATCAGGGGGACGTTCTGTGTTTGCTGGGTTTAAGAGCCGTTTTCTACAGAGGTAATCTCTCCTCTTCCTTTTGTCCTGTCGGAAAACCTTCCATTTTCTGAACAGTCAATGTACGTTAGAAACTCATGATTTCTTTGAAACGACTGGCTCTGGAAAGGGTTGGTTGGAATCGAAAGAGGAGGCAAAGACGACACGTGTATGCCGTGACCTGAAAGTGTTTATTTATAGAATTTGAGATAAAAGGTCAAGTGTCCGGAATACAGTGTCTACGTTAGGCTAGCTACCACAATTTCTTGCGCTCAGGTAGTTTGGCGTGACTGGCCAGGAACGTGACAATGTCGTGAGTAGTGGTTTGATCATGAGTTACTTGCTCAAAAACCTGCCTGGAACGCAGCATATGTTGTGATCATGTGATTTTGCCTCGTGAAAGTCTGTATTCTAGTAGTCAAATATTCATTCCAGACAAATTTCACGAGGCTCACAGCACACAATGAAGATAAACATAATAAGTTATTTTCTGCAACAGTAGATATGGGGATGAACTATTTGGATATGTAAATCAATGACTGGCTATAGTTGTTTGTTTGGTTCAAGCGTCTTGATGTTGCTCGTTGTGTATTCAAACTGCATCAAACAAAGCTGACGAAGCCTATTTTTCTAGGTTAAGCATTTTAGTGTTTCTACTGATGTACTGTAGATATGGCCATTTCTAAAGAAATTTCTTTTTTAAGGTTTTTATTTTTTATTTTATTTTTTTAAATGCTCAACATACTGCTGTTTCTACCAACAGCTGTTTATGATCCCAATGAATGAAAAAGTATACAATTTGATTAGATGATAGCCTACATGTTGAATTCTACCACTATATTGTCTTTATTTGTCTGCATTTCAAAAGTGCTGTTTTTAATTGTTTATGTAATGCATTTCTGTCATTTAATTCAATAAATATTTTTTTTTGTATTAAGTTTATTATTCTTAATTCATGCTTCATGTTCAGTGCTCACTGTGTGAAAATATGGTTTGGTATGAAAGAAAAATTATCCTCTCAACCAAATATTTTTTGTATAGGGGTGAAAAATAAATAAAATAAAATATATTAGATAGATATTTATATATAATATAAATTTTATATATATATATATATTTATTTTTATTTTTTTAAAGTGTCATTGATGTAAAATAGATTTTTCTGAAAGGTAAAATTACTCTATGACATATATATGGCATATGAGTATTTATCGAATTTCCCATGCATATTTTAATTGAAGATATGTCGTAAAACATTGTTAACAAACAGACACGAAAAAAAAATTATGATATTCAATATAATGCAATGTCAGTTTCTCCTGACTAAATCTTACAAACGTTGATCTTTAGATGAAATAATTAAATTAAAGATCATCAAAAGTGCTGAGATGAGATTTTGTGCCAGCTAATGGTCAGGAGAAGAAATTATAATTTTACCAGTTTATCCCATGTTACTATAAATGAATGAATGAATAAATGAATGTTCTGTACAAAGCGAAAGATTGGGGCGCCAGATAGTCCCATCATAGACGCTAGAGGGCGCAGCTGAGGGCCTTTATAAACACAACACGAACACGCGCTTAAAGAGCCATATGAAACAGATGAATACAAAAAGCTTGACAGAGCGGGACACATCTTTCCCATGTGTTTTGAAGTAAAGAGCAGCTACCCTTTCAGATGAGATATAATATTAGAAGAGAGGAGGGGATGTGGTGGTTTATTCGCGATGGGAAATGTTTTCGGCAGAGAGAGACAACCCAGTCGAGTGACAGAGCAGGACAGGGCGATATTGGTAAGATCAATCAATATAAGTCGATCAGCACTATCACACTCTCTCACACACAAACACATGCGCACTTGTGTTGAGTTTGTGTCGTTGCCTACACGTGTAAACACACTATACTGTAGTGCGTCTGAAATGAGTTCATACTGAACTGCGAATAAAAGGATTAGATCAGCTGTACTTTACAGAACACAGAATGTATGTCTGTAGAAACGAGTGTATTATATGTTATATATTATAGAACACAGAACAGAGTCTGTAGAATAAAGTAGAACAGATCTGCGTCGACTATTGAATAGAAAAGAGTATAGTATAGAATAGAACAGCAGGGCCGTTTATTTTAAAATAAAGTACTACAACAGAAGAACACATTCTATTAAAGAATATAGTATAGAACAACTACTTTTATTGAATAGAATTAAATTGAATAGTGTCAATTGTAGAACATAATGTATAAATGAAATTTGAAAAAAAAAATGCAACAAGTGTAGAATACAGGTGAACAGAGCTTGATGTAGAACAGATAAAATTGAGCAGAACAGATCTGCATCCATTGTAGAATAGAGTAAAATAGAACAAGGTCTGTTATATAACATAACAATGTTTGAGAATAGAGTTTGTTATAGAATAAATAAGAGCATATATTATTTAATAGAATGAAATGGAATAGTATCAGTATCAATTATGGAACATGATGTATTAGAATGAAATGCAACAAGTGTAGAATATAGGTTAACAGAGCTGTATGTTATAGAATAGAACAGAACAGGTGAAGAACAGAATAGAGCAGAACCGATCTTCATTGATTATAGAATACTGTAGAGTAAAACAATGTTCTATGTTATAGAACATAACAATCTTTGAGAATAGAGTTTGTTATAGAATAGAGTAGAACATATTTTATGAAAAGAACATATTTTATAAATTATAGAACATAATGTATTAGAATAAAATGGGAAAAGTTTAGTAAACAGATCCGTATGCTAACAGAGCAGGTGTAGAACAGAATAGAGTTTAACAGATCTGCATCGATAAAACAACAGTATCTTATAGAACATAACAATGTTCGTGAATAGAATAGAACAGTATATTATAGAACAGAACAGTTTATTATCGAATAGATTAAAACATATTTTATTGAATAGAATTAAATGGAATTGAACCGATTATAGAACATGATGTTTTAGAATAAAATGCAACAGAATTGAACAGATCTGCATTGATTATAGAATAGAGTAAAACAAAAGAATCTCATAGAACATAACAATGTTCGTGAAGAGAATAAAACAGTATATTATAGAACAGAACAGAACAGTTTATTATAGAATAAAGTAGAACATCTTTTATTGAATAGAATTAAATGGAATTGAACCGATTATAGAACATGATGTTTTAGAATAAAATGCAACAGAATTTAACAGATCTGCATCGATTATAGAATAGAGTAAAACAAAAGAATCTTATAGAACATAACAATGTTCGTGAAGAGAATAAAACAGTATATTATAGAACAGAACAGTTTATTATAGAATAGAGTAGAACATCTTTTATTGAATAGAATTAAATGGAATTGAACCGATTATAGAACACAATGTTTTCTAATAAAATGCAACAGAATTGTATCAAGCAAAACTGAATTACAGAATAATGCGTAGAAAACAGAACAACGTTTAATAGAATAATATATAATTTAGATTTACCATAGAATTTATAGGCTATTCTATTCTACACTCAAATGTAAATATAAACTTAGGATAGAAGCTAATTAAGGGGACTGACTTACATTTTTAAATTAATCAAATAATTTAAAGTAATTCAATTATTATTGTTGTATGATATAGTTTTAATGTATTAAATGTTTTATATAATATTTAAAGTGCTAAGAATGCATAAATTCAACATTTATTTTCCCCTCCTCAATAACTATTGTTTATTCAAAATCAAATATTCAAAGTTTCTATTAATATTAATAAGACAAGTTAGAAAAAAGCAGCATTGTCAAAATTACAGAAGCAATACTAGAAATGTGCGAGTCTTCAAATATTGTGTTTGAGTGGAGTCTGCGCTCTTATTTATCAGAACACACAGGAACATCGTTTCAGCGTTCACTGTTGCACACAGATCCATGTCTGTGTATTCATCTAAGTCAAGAAACTGGCACATTTATGAATAAGAAGTGCTTCTGTAAGTGAGCTGTCATGTTTCTACATCACATCCTGTCACTGGATCACAGCAGCTGAAGCAGCAGAGAGATAAACTGAAACAATATCAGAAGAAAATCACATTACAGTTGGAGAAAGAGAGACATCTGGCCAAACTGCTCCTGAAGGATGGCATGAAAGAGTAAGACAATTCAGATTATGCAACCATTCATGATATCCGATCACCCAAAGTCACCCATCATGCATTGCACAGTGCCTTTTATTGTGCTGCCACATGGCCAAAATGATTTTGGTTGATTCACTAACACATGTGACTCATACATTTCACAGGCGAGCTCTTCTGCTGCTCAAAAAGAAACGCTACCAAGATCTCCTGCTGGACAAGACCGAGGTCCAGATCGCCAACCTGGAGCGCATGGTGGGTTTACATGATATTATTCATAATTAACTATTAAATCATTAAGATATAAAAGATATGAATTACATTCTGAATATGCCTCATTCAGGTTCAAGATATTGAATTTGCTCAGATTGAAGTAAAGGTCATCGAGGGTTTAAAAGCTGGGAATGACTGTCTTAAGCAAATTCACGAGGTAAGTCTCTATATTAACTGAAACTAGTTTAAAGTCAGCATGAAATGGAAGTTGCGATAGTCTTTTGTTCTCTATTGTGGCGTGGATGGTTCATTGGTCTGTTTTGGTGTTGTGCAGTGGGCGATGCAGTTTGTAACAGCGTGTTACTGTTGCTCATTGTTTTGGGATTAAAGGATTAAACCTAACACTCTTAGATTACAGCAGAGCTGACCTGTCTTTGTTTTGTCCTGGGCTATAGTACCATGAAGACCTCTGAAAAAAAGGCCTTTTTCGTTAAATCACACATTTATTCGCAAATGCAAACTGCCCTATTAATTTCTGTGGGGTGTTTCAATGCTTGTGAGCAACAGTAACCAAATGAGGGTGGAGGTTAGCGAAAGGTCAATAATGTTATGAATATTTCCAAAGTCTATTATGAGCATTTGACTGAAGTAATTATTTTTTTTGCCACGGATTGATTTTTTTATCTTCTCAGGTCATGTCAATTGAGGAGGTGGAGAGAATACTGGAGGAGACGCAGGAGGCCATTGAGTATCAGAAGGTTATAACTGTCACATTCAGAACGACGCTAAATGGACTTTAAACACGCCAAATCTATGACACTCATTGCATTGCATTACATAACACAGTCAAACAAACCAAGTGGCATTTATATTAAAGAAAGTCTGCACAAGAACACTCTTAATAAATGTTTCTTGAGCATCAAATCATCATATTAGAATGATTTCTGAAGGATCATGTGACCCTGAAGACTAGGAGTATTGATGATGAAAATTCAGCTTTGACATCACAGGAATAAATTACATTTTACAATATATTCAAATAATAATAATAATAATAAAAAACGGACTCAACCGTATTTGAAAAACAACAGACTCGGCCTCGACTCGGACTCGACCCTTCAAAGACTCGTGTTGACTCGGACTCGACCATATTTGAAAACCAACGGACTTGGTCTCGCCTCGGACTCGAATCTTCAAAGACTCACCTTGACTCGGACTCGACCGTATTTGAAAACCAACGGACTCTGTCTCAACTCGGACTCGACCCTTCAAAGACTCACCTTGACTCTGACTTAACCTTATTTGAAAAACAACAGACTCGGCCTCGACTCGGAATAGACCCTTCAAAGACTCGTCTTGACTCCGACTCGACCATATTTGAAAACCAACCGACTCTGTCTCGACTCGGACTCGACCCTTCAAAGACTCACCTTGACTCTGACTTAACCTTATTGAAAAACAACAGACTCAGCCTCGACTCGGAATAGACCCTTCAAAGACTCGTCTTGACTCGGACTCGACCGTGTTTGAAAACCAACGTACTCAGTCTCGACTCGGACTCAACCCTTCAAAGACTCGTCTTGACTCGGACTAAACCGTTTTTAAAACCAACGGACTCTGTCTCAACTCGGACTCGACCCTTCAAAGACTCACCTTGACTCTGACTCGACCGTATTTGAAAACCAACGGACTCTGTCTCAACTCGGACTCGACCCTTCAAAGACTCGTCTTGACTCGGACTCGACCATATTTGAAAACCAACGGACTCTGTCTCGACTCGGACTCGACCCTTCAAAGACTCACCTTGACTCTGACTTAACCTTATTTGAAAAACAACAGACTCGGCCTCGACTCGGAATAGACACTTCAAAGACTCGTCTTGACTCGGACTCGACCGTGTTTGAAAACCAACGTACTCAGTCTCGACTCGGACTCAACCCTTCAAAGACTCGTCTTGACTCGGACTCAACCGTTTTTAAAACCAACGGACTCTGTCTTAACTCGGACTCGACCCTTCAAAGACTCGTCTTGACTCTGACTCGACCGTATTTAAAAACCAACGGACTCTGTCTCGCCTCGGACTCGACCCTTCAAAGACTCACCTTGACTCGGACTCGACCGTATTTGAAAACCAACAGACTCTGTCTCAACTCGGACTCGACCCTTCAAAGACTCGTCTTGACTCGGACTCGACCATATTTGAAAACCAACGGACTCTGTCTCGACTCGGACTTGACCCTTCAAAGACTCGTGTTGACTCGGACTCAACCATATTTGAAAACCAACGGACTCGGTCTCGCCTCGGACTCGAATCTTCAAAGACTCACCTTGACTCGGACTCGACCGTATTTGAAAACCAACGGACTCTGCCTCGACTCGGACTCGACCCTTCAAAGACTCACCTTGACTCGGACTCAACCTTATTTGAAAAACAACAGACTCGGCCTCGACTCGGAATAGACCCTTCAAAGACTCGTCTTGACTCGGACTCGACCGTGTTTGAAAACCAACGTACTCAGTCTCGACTCGGACTCAACCCTTCAAAGACTCGTCTTGACTCGGACTCAACCGTTTTTGAAAACCAACGGACTCTGTCTCAACTCGGACTCGACCCTTCAAAGACTCGTCTTGACTCGGACTCGACCGTATTTGAAAACCAACGGACTCTGTCTCGCCTCGGACTCGACCCTTCAAAGACTCACCTTGACTCGGACTCAACCGTATTTGAAAACCAACAGACTCTGTCTCGACTCGGACTCGACCCTTCAAAGACTCGTCTTGACTCGGACTCGACCGTATTTGAAAACCAACGTACTCAGTCTCAACTCGGACTCGACCCTTCAAAGACTCACCTTGACTCGGACTCGACCGTATTTGAAAACCAACGGACTCTGTCTCAACTCGGACTCGACCCTTCAAAGGCTCGTCTTGACTCGGACTCGACCATATTTGAAAACCAACGGACTCTGTCTCGACTCGGACTCGACCCTTCAAAGACTTACCTTGACTCGGACTCAACCGTATTTGAAAAACAACAGACTCGGCCTCGACTCGGAATAGACCCTTCAAAGACTCGTCTTGACTCGGACTCGACCGTGTTTGAAAACCAACATACTCAGTCTTGACTCGGACTCGACCCTTCAAAGACTCGTCTTGACTCGGACTCAACCGTTTTTGAAAACCAACGTACTCTGTCTCGACTCGGACTCGACCCTTCAAAGACTCGTGTTGACTCGGACTCAACCATATTTGAAAACCAACGGACTCTGTCTCAACTCGGACTCGACCCTTCAAAGACTCACCTTGACTCGGACTCGACCATATTTGAAAACCAACGTACTCTGTCTCGACTCGGACTCGACCCTTCAAAGACTCGTGTTGACTCGGACTCGACCGTATTTGAAAACCAACGGACTCTGTCTCGCCTCGGACTCGAACCTTCAAAGACTCACCTTGACTCGGACTCGACCGTATTTGAAAACCAGCGGACTCTGACTCGCCTCGGACTCTAACCTTCAAAGACTCACCTTGACTCAGACTCGACCGTATTTGAAAACCAACGGACTCTGTCTCGCCTCGGACTCGACCCTTCAAAGACTCGTGTTGACTCGGACTCGACCGTATTTGAAAACCAACGGACTCTGTCTCGCCTCGGACTCGAACCTTCAAAGACTCACCTTGACTCGGACTCGACCGTATTTGAAAACCAACGGACTCTGTCTCAACTCGGACTCGACCCTTCAAAGACTCACCTTGACTCAGACTCAACCGTATTTGAAAACCAACGTACTCTGTCTCGCCTCGGACTCGACCCTTCAAAGACTCGTGTTGACTCGGACTCGACCGTATTTGAAAACCAACGGACTCTGTCTCGCCTCGGACTCGAACCTTCAAAGACTCACCTTGACTCGGACTCGACCGTATTTGAAAACCAACGGACTCTGTCTCAACTCGGACTCGACCCTTCAAAGACTCACCTTGACTCGGACTCAACCGTATTTGAAAACCAACGGACTCTGTCTCGACTCGGACTCGACCCTTCAAAGACTCGTCTTGACTCGGACTCAAATGTATTTGAAAACCAACAGACTCTGTCTTGACTCGGACTCAACCCTTCAAAGACTCACCTTGACTCAGACTCAACCGTATTTGAAAACCAACGTACTCGGTCTCGACTCGGACTCGACCCTTCAAAGACTCGTCTTGACTCGGACTCGACTGTATCCGAAAACCAACGGACTCGGTCTCGACTCGGACTCGACCCTTCAAAAACTTGGTCTTTCACTATTTAGGGGAATAGTGAAAAACACTATTTAGTTTTTGAAGGGTCGAGACCGAGTCCGTCTCGACCCTTCAGGTGGTGTTGTTTTAGTACTTATAAATAACACTAAGTCTAACTTGGAAATGAGGCCCGATGTCCAAAATTCTGAACCACCCCTTTAAAAGAGTTTCAAATATGAGTTTTTGTTTTTTTGCTCAACTGTGGGCGTATTGATTACATTTATAACACAAAATAAAATATTGAATAAAAGCCTTCCTTTTGCCATGCTGCTCTTCTCTGGTTTTTATTGCCTTGAATCTCTAACTGCTTCTTGAAACTTCTTCCCTAACAGCAAATTGATGAACTGCTTGCGGGTTGGTTGACAGCAGAGGATGAGGATGCTGTTTTAGCCGAGCTGGAGGCCATCACTCAGGTATGGGCATCTTTACCTGTCATCCGTCTTCATCATCGCTCGCTGGTCCTGATCCAACGCCTCTCTATCTCTCTCTCTCTCTCTCTCCAACCCGGCCAGGGAGAAGACATAACCCTTCCAGAATTACCCACAGATCCATTGCCAGCGGTGTCTATGGGAGAGACAGGTGTTGTTTTAGTACTGTCAAACACAGTGGTTTGTGAGAATGACATGGCTTTTTTATTTGGCTTTCCATCACTCTCTTTGTGCTCTGTGTCTTTACAGAGAGAAAAGAGCCGGAGCGAGAGATGCTGGCAGCGTAATGTGTGATCTTACAACCTGGCTCATCACTTTGGTCTAAATGAAAGGAAGAGCTAGAGGAATATAATTGAGAGAAAAGAAGGCTTTCGTGGGATTATTGAATAGGCACATGTCAGAAGCATTTCCCACGGTCATGGGAAACTTCAGGGAATGTCAGGGGGGATTTACTTTTTGGGATTTCCAGACTTGAAAAAGTCATGAATGTCATTTAAATCGTAAGAATTGAAATGTATTCACAAACGATTCGAATCACTGGTCAAAGACATGGAATCCCTGTAGACCATAAATGCTGTTGTGACAAAAACAGAAGAATCAAGTTGCTTTGGATAAAAAACATCTGTAAAATGCGTATAAATGACATGGTTTACAGTAACATTCTACATTAAGTTCTTCTATTAAAACGGCTATTAGTTTTAGTATGTTCACATTTGATTTAAACTATGAACTATGAGAATTTTTAAGTAGCAAATTTCAATACTTTTCCATAAAAGCACATTTACAGAATCTGTTTAAATAATGTGTTTGGTTGTGTGTGTTTTTTAGTCTTTTCATGTGTGCAATAAATCCTTCAAGAGCTTGGGTTAAAATCTGTGTATTTTACAATGTAAACTAGATTGATTTCGTGGCTGTGCCACTTGGAGGTGTGTTAGCATCACATGACCACCAGGGGGCTCTTTATATCACTAATTGAGAGGAAATAAATCTGTGCTGACAGATAAACAAAACTGACAATCCTCTTCCGATGGCTTAGTTTGTGTTTGCAATGTAAACCTTCTGTTCATGAATGGAAATTCTGAATCTGTGCGTGTTATTTTATGTCTATCAGTTTTCTATTGAAAACTACTTATAGTGATCACAAACGAGTGGAAGAGTCATGGATATTCACTGGTAAAGTATTTCCATTGAAAATTTGTGAAAAACAATCAGATGAAGTACTACTATACGATCTAAGTGGTTTCTTTCCAACGAACTTTACACATTTATCTTAACCAGTGTGTAAGGAATTTGCTCTGAAATTGATAAATAAAAGAACCTTTTTTTCTGCAGTTTCTCATATTCGAAGTGTACATAGCCAAACCTGGCTGACACATAAAACAATGAAATCATGTAAAACAGTGAAGATCTATGTCCAGAGAGTTCTAGAGGAATCACATCCGGGACAGGGCAGGCGCAGGTGAGCGTAGCCACGCCTCCAGTGCGCGTTTGTGGTATGGGGGCGCGGCTAAGGATGTAAGCCGCTCCCCCTCTCCGTTGCCTCCGCACAGTAGTGTTGAGCTGAGATCAGACTCCCGTGGATCGGAGCAGAGATCCGCAGCTGATCGTCATCACACAGACACACTGTTCGGATAACACATCACGTGCAGCAAAACACCGTTTATGGTTTTAACTGAAGATTTCACCATGTCTCGCACCGACGAGGTTCACCGCATTACGGAAAATGTCTATAAGGTAAAGTGCAATGATCAAACTGTTCTAACAACTTCTCGATCACAGGTGGTGATGATCTAATAGGCGAATACATGTGTAACGAAAGTGGATGCTTTATCGTCGTTGTTTATTGTAGTGCTTAAGATTGTTGTCTTGGGTTTATGGTTAGATTTGTCATCGTTAATGAACTTGATGAGAGATCAAGTTTCTCGTTAGTGTCATTTAAATGGAGCTCACCGTGATAGAAGTGATTTTGCATTGTTATTTACGAAATGAATAGAATATTCTCTCTCTCACGCACCTAGTGATCGACGATCACTTTCTGTAGGCTACGACACATTAATGTTTAAATGTCCGATTACTGATACTTTTTACGACTGATAGCCTACAATACATATTTTGTTTAAATATCTGTTTGTTTGTTTTTGAAATACTGTAACATTAAAAACCATTATAAATATTTAAGTTTATTTTAATGATTTCATTTTTAATTTATGCATTATTTCATTCAAGTTTCGTTTGCTAAGTGGTCACAGAGTTGATTGTCATGTAAATCAATCTATCTTTCGGTCTCCTCTCACGCATTTTTATTTTCCCCAGAAAACCTGTATTGGTTGTGTTTTTATTGGCATGTGCACCTTCGGGCATTCCAGCATAGGTGGTTCAGGGAGGGGGACGTGCTGGTGTGTGTTGCAACAGGTTCAGTCAATGTGTGTCTCGTCAATGTTTCCATTGATTCCCAAAAGGTTTGTGTTGCAGTTTTTGGTCTGTAACTTTGAAAAAAAAGTTAATACTTGCCACACCAGTAGGATTACAGCTCTCATCAGATACTTTAAGCCTGTTAAATAGGCCACCTGAAGTCCAACACCTAAAACGAGGACAAAGAAACTATTCTGGTTGATCAAGGCCAAGCGGATGTCTCCTGAATCTGGGGTGTTACTCTTAAAGCAATGGAAACCTAACTATTCAGACTAGCTTACAGCACAATTCACATAATATTTTCATCTGTCTGACAGATACTTCAATTCTAGTTTACTATGTCAGTCTGTATAGATTTACATTTCATAAACCTAAAGTGGGTTAGACCTCATGGGAAGGCTTTGAATTAGATCACTAGCTGTCTATGGATATATGCATGTGTGTAGTCTGTCGTTTAACTGAGAATCGTGTGTCAGTTGTGTGTTGGCGTCTTTCAGGGATGGTGCTCAGCTGGATTGTTCGTTCAAATCCACCCCCTATTCAGATAGCTTGTTAAATCGGCCAGCTAAAGAACATGGATTGAGTTCAAAAGGAGTGTAGTATTGATGAGTGTTTGTGTGTGAGAGAGAGAGAGATGAGATAAGTGGGGTAAACATCAGTGGAAGTGGTGGGATGTTTAACATCTGCTGAAGTTGTCACAGGAAAGATGGAAGCTTGTTTCTGCCAGGCTATATAAAAAAAATTCAAAGAAAAAAAATGTCATTTATATTTTTTATTTCACAATTCAGACTTTTCTCTCAATTGTGGGTTTATATCTTAACAATTTCAAACTTTTTTCCTCAGATTAAATTGCAAGTTATAAAATAGGCTACTTTTCTCCTTTGAATTTTGAGATGATTTCTGACTTGGTTTTCTCTTATTTCCTAGTTTACTTCTCATAATTCTGACTTTTTTCCTCAGAAATCTGAGTGTACACACAATTGTGAGTTCATACCTTATCATTCAAACTTTTAAATTTCCTTTGTGACTCAACGCATGGGTGTACCAGGGTGCGCGCATGTGCGTGTGTGTGTTCTGTTGTTTCTCAACTGTGCACACAGAACACTCCCTACCTGTGAGCAATAGCTGCGATCCTGCTGGAGTTGCCATGGATTTAAAAACAGGCCTCACCTGTGAGTCAAAACCGGCCCTCAATCACTCATCCTCCTGGTGTCAGACTCTCAGTACCAGGGCCCAGTCATCCAGACAGTGCCACACTCGGTCAGATCTCTCTAATCCCATCAGCCTCCAGGCGAGTACCAGCGGCAGGGCAGACAAGGGTGACATAACTGCTGTCCACTCACCTGTGTGTGTGTGTGTGTGGGTGAGCTGAGGTCAAGCCACTTATGTACAGTTTGAGGGCAGACTCCTACTGTGTGCTAATGCAAATGCTAAAGCATTGTTGTTAGCATGCAGTGATATTGAACTTGCGCGTGACCTCAGTAAGAAAACGACTTGGTTTGAGAGTTACCTTTAAATATGTAGCTTAAGTTGTGGCTTTGATTCCTGGGCAAAACGTGTACCTTGCACTTACTAAAAATCTTCCTGGATTAAAGTGCTTGTTGAATATAGTGTACATTAGCGCCATTGAAGCTGCAGGAATTGTTTTGCTAACTGCTATTTTGCTAACTTTAGCTACACACCTTCTGTTCTATCTCTATCTGTCTACATATATACTTGCTTTTTATTATAAATTGTATTTTGTTAATAATACAGTAATTGTTGAAATCTAGAGAAATCACATTTTTCTTCCTAACGGGGGGGTTACTTAGAATTTGTGTAGTGATTTATTGGAAACTCCTGCAGTTCTGTTGATCAGGGTGTATTGAGAGACATGTGACGGGACAGGGCATGTCTCATCAAGTCTACAGGTGAAACAATGTGATGGGAGTGTCTCTAATACCTCTCCCTAATAGTCAACTTAGTGATGTAAACATGGTTACCATGTTCACTCAATCCAAGAGGAAACTTATAGGTGTGTCCTTTTTTTTTTCTTTATCCTACATGCCTGATATTTGAAAACAGCAAAAACAAGCGAAGGTTTCTTTCAATTACAATATGCATATTACTTTCCCATAAATCCGTTTGATGAAAGCATTATACCCAACAGGAGTAAAATTTAATTTGTCCAGGGACTCATTTCATGAGAGATCACCAGGAGCAAACGATATATCATTATTTTTTTCAATGTTTTTGAAAGATTGAGAGGATATATTTTTCATGTAGGAAATCTGGAAAGGTAGTTTCTTAGCAACAACGTGCTTCAAAATGTTTCTGTCATGTCATTCAGTGAGAGACACAGACCGGAGATAGAAACAGACATTGAGGGCATGTATGTGCTTATATTCATCAATAATCCATAAAAAGCTTTTATTGTGGGCTAATGTGCTAATAGAGGAGCTGTTATAGTTTATTTCGCCTGGTTCTTAAAGAGACAGTTAGCCTAAAATGAAAGTTTGGTCATCATTATGTCATTTAAAATCCCTTTTGAATTTCTTCCTCGTTTTCAAGACAATAAAGCACCAGAAAATGTATCTAAAGTCATCTATACAACCGTTTTTTTTTTTTTTGTATGAACAGTACATTATTTAACACTCAGTTTCAGCTAATCTTGAGTATCTTGTATTGCATCCTTCATATCTCCAAATAGTCTTTAGTTTTATTACATTTATAAAAGAAAGAGAGGCTGTACTGAGTATTTCCGGAAAAAAAAAGCCATTTAGCTTGTGCCATGTGGGCGGAGCTAAATAATCACCAGCGCGCAAAGCTTTTGAGTTGAGAGCGTCTGGTAACTTCGACATCCCGAAACAAACCATGGCTGACAATCAGATTCAGCCATACATTTTTGGTCCGGGATCACATACCATCTCTGTTTGGTGTGTACTGGAACTGCATAACTTGTGTTTGCTTAGCGATTTTTTTTGTAAATGACTCATTTTCACTTTGTTGTCGTATTGCTCTTTTCTTTAAAGGTGTACATGTGGGAAGTGTAGTTTTAGCCGACTGAGGCGGGAGATATTTTAAAAGTAGAAATGGTTTGAACTTGAGCGCAGTGTTTTTAGAACACCATGTTATAACTTACAACATTTGTGTGTGTTTACTCGTGGTTTAAGAACAACATGATTTGGTTTTACAATAAACAAACAGACGCCTACAGTGGCCAGCTAAAGAAATGTATTTAAAGACATTCTTAAACAAATCCTATCAGCGCTGCCGATGATTTCTCGTCTCGCTCTCCTCTGGTCGACGTGTGCACGGGCGCGCGTTTCCAAGAGAAATGCTCATATAAGGAGTTCCACTCTCGTCTACGTCATTAGATCCACGAACGGAAAAAAAAAATAGCCGAAACTTGTACCAACCTGGTAGTAAGATTTTTAGGGCTGCAACTAACGATTATTTTGATAATCGATTAATCGGACGATTATTTTTCCGATTAATCGGATAAAAATTATTATTTTTTTATTATAAATGAATAAACCCCTAAATCAGGGTTGTGGCGAGCAGGATGAGGCCTCGGTGATGTATATAACCTATGACAAAAATGCTATTATAAACTAGATCAGAATCAGAACATTTAGTGAAAAAAACATTCCTTAGTGGGGAACAAATAAGAGACCATAAGTGTAGCACTAAATTTGGTAAAACATTACACATTTACGTAAAACGCATGCACAGAGAAGTCCAAATTAAACATGATTTAATGACTCGTAAAAGTAAGTACACATTGATGGCCTAAGACACGAAACGAGCGGTTTATGTGAGAAAACGAACAGTACTTTTATTGTTTTTACCTCTTCTAACCACAGCCACATCCAAGTGATCAGAAGGCACGAACGCTTCAGTCTGCGCAAGCGCCGGAAAGCGTTGCAAAAGCTGCATGATTTAATCTTTAACAGATCGCGATCTCGATTCAAACACAAGTGATCTCATTCCCATTAAACCTTTGACAAAATCACATCAGAACATTCAAATCTGTACTCTGATCGAGAGAGAGCAGTTGTCATCTTTAAGTATGAAACAGCTTCAGTCTTTTCAGCCACTAATTTCTGTCTTACCGATTCAAATTATCAAAAAACTGGGATAATCAGATAAACACTGATGTCTACGGTAGCGATCAAAATGTAATAAATCTCCTTTTGAAAGTAAAAATATCGCATACAAAATAATCAGTCAAATCAGTTTAAGTGCGATTACATGGATATTGCGATTAATCGCACAGCCGTAATTGGTTGGGATGTGCCAGGTTTGAATTTGGAAAGATTTTGTTAGTTTGTATTATTCAT